CCATTAGTAATATATTATTAATGGCGCATCTGGTGTGTGATGCGCCATTAGTAGTTTTGAAAAAAAACATAAATTTTTTTTGTTACTAATGGCGCACCGTTGCATAGTGCGCCATTACTAATTGACATAGTAATGGCGCACCACATCCGTCGTGCGCCATTAGTAGTTTTGGAAAAAATAAAAAAAAAAAAAAAAAATTTGTTACTAATGGCGCACCATGTCTCGGTGCGCCATTACTAGTTTTAACTAGTAATGGCGCACTTTTCATTGGTGCGCCATTACTAAGTTTTTTTCAAAAAAAATCAAAAAAATATCAATTTTTTTTTTTCAAAACTAGTAATGGCGCACCGTGGGGTGGTGCGCCATTACTAGTTTAACACCGAATGCACACCCCCTGGATCGCCTTTTCAGTTTTAGAAAAAATAAAAGAAAATGATGGAAATGTCAAAAAAATAAAGGATAATATGTTTCCCATGTGATATGTGCTCTAGTTTTTGGGAAAATTTACAAATATGAATTTCGACTTTATTTGCAAAATCTCTCTGGAAATTTGTAAAATGGGCATAACTTTTGCATACGAACTCGGATGAAAAAGTTTTTTATATGAAAAATCATCTACTCGAAAAGTTACATCCAAATTTAACTGGGGAACCCCGTTAAACATTTTCAAAATCCCCAAAAACCTAACAGAAAAAAGTTACGGGGCTTTCAAGATCTAGCGGCAAAAAAATTCAAAAAATTTCAAACTTACTAGTGGCGCACCGTGGATGTGGTGCGCCACTAGTAACAGAAAAAAAATTGGTTTTGAATTTTTTTTTGAATTTTTTTTCAAAAAATGATAAGTAATATGATCGGGAAGTTTGAAATATTTTTCAAAATTTCATCATAGTCATAAACAAACAAAGTCCTAGACATCAACAAGGTATAACAGGATTGATATGCTAGATATATCAACAAGTGCCTGTGAAGTGAGCTGTTGCTGGGGTTGGATAGAACTCTAAAGTTAAGCGTGCTTGGGCTGGAGTAGTGTGAGGATGGGTGACCTTTTGGGAAGTTTGACCATGGAGTGCGATTTGACCTGAGATTAAGCATATTGACCCGAGATTAAGCCATAGTGAACTGAGATTAAGAAAAAATTGAAAAAAAAATTTAAAAAATTTCTGAAGAACATTTTAAAATTTTTTTGAAAAAAAATGTTACTAATGGCGGACTTCTATGTGATGCGCCATTAGTATACCAGATACTAATGGCGCACCATGTAGTGCGCCATTAGTATAGCCCACGGTGCGTGCTAGTAATGGCGCACCGGTAGTGCGCCATTAGTAGGCAAAACCGGTGCGCCATTAGTAGGCCTTTTTCTAATAGTGAGTACTGGTTCTCACGTTAGAAGGTTGAGTGATAAACTCGTTTCCAAGAGACGACGACAGGCAGATGGATGGCTGGATGAGGGGGAAGCAGGCGGAGGCACGTAGGCAGCACCGGGACGGTGGAGGAGACGCTCCAGTGTGCGGCAGGCAGTGGGCGATGGCCAGCAACACGTGTCGTGAAGTGTTAACTGCATCAGCGGCTGTAATTGTTAGAACAATCATAGATTAATTAGGATCGGTAACATTTGAAAGAACAAACATGATATTAGGCTAACGGGAAATTACGAAGTTGACATTCAGCCTAACTACAAGTCGAAATATATTAACCATTGGGTCAAGTTAATACTACTACACAATAAATTCCGTAGTACAATGTACCCTAAAAACTCCCTAAAATTTTGCCATGTATCCCTTCTGTACTGAGGATTTTATGCAGAGAGGGCCACAATTAAGGGACTGGACCAATATAATTTGTAGTTGTTTTTCTGCAATATTTTGTAAGAATAGAATTGCAACCTATTATTTTCATGAAATTATTGAATGAATTGAACTGTTTTCTAGCACTCTTGTGTATTTTAAAGGTTTACTGGTTTTGGTAATTACAAGAATAAGTAAATGGGGCTATACTATTGTTGTAACACACGATCATGAAACTGAGGGAACTAGAAAGCGTAGTATTAAGATGCCACTGCTAGTTTCCCAAGAAAAATACTCCCCCATTTGGAAATACATGTCCTTCTAGATATACGAAAGTCGAACCTGAACAACTTTAAATCACAATATGCATGTGAAATGTTAATGTTGTTTAAATGAAAAAAATAACATTATATTTGTTGTATTTTTTATAATATTAAAATATGTAAATTTTGACCAATATATTCACATGAAAAGCAACTGTTGACATAAGTTTCGTAGGAATTTAAAAGATAGAGAACGTCCCTAGAAATTGTTGCAAGGATAATTATTCCTTCATCTGAAAGGACTATGTAGGACATTTTTCTACACAGTTTCATTCTTTCAAACTTAGTAATCCCAATGCAAAGGATCCACAAATTACGTGCTCATAAAAACATATGATGCTCATGATAAGTATTTATGTGTAAGTTTAATAGAGACATTTGTATGTACTGATATATTTGGAAGTTTTGGATCATATATATAATTGGTAGCTATTCATAAATTTAGATGTATGGCTACCCAGCTTCTTCCTTCTGGGATTTATCTAGCTAGACCATGTTATATGACTTCACTAACAACACTACATTCATGTGTGTATATACAGTACATTTTTGTTTAAAACAGGTATTTTGATATTCTGGTGGGAGCCAGATTTTATTTTCTGGACACTTTGAGCCAGGTTTTAGCTTGAGCTGCTGCCCAAGACCCTATTGTCAAAACCGATCAGGTCAGCCATTTAGTTTAGCGTGAAATTATGAAGCTGAAATTTGATTCAAATTAAATTATCACAATGACAAAATTTATGTCAAAGTGTTGCAACATCATAGAGATCTGGTTCAAATAAAATTTACTCGCTTTACACTGCAAAAGATTTACAGTTGAGTTTATCGATCCCATGATACATTATCCAAACCATCCTTCTATTTCACAGATGCATGGTTCTTTGTGGTGCTGCTTAAGCTTAACAAAAAGAGAATCATGCCAAGCGAGTTGCTGCTGTTGAAACTCGCAAAAGCAAAGAATAGACACCATGATCAGGTACAAGATGTGGATCTGATCATCATTCACGCAATAATGCTTGCATACAAGCTGGCAATATATCACGGGTTGAGTTAACACAACTTGAATCATTTTATTCCACGTATGTATATCATTTTACAAATATGCGAACCATGCATTTAGATATCCTATCGGAATACAATGATCAACGACTATCTTATAAGCAGTCCCTGGAAGAAATGAACACGTAAGCGTGCATGCATGCACGAGTGACGGGTGTGATGGCATGCAAACCAAAGACGAGTATGACGACGACGACACATGGTTTGTGATGCATGGTTCGAGGGATGATGGGTGGATCAGCTGGGGCAGGTGAAGTCGGCGGGGCAGGTCTTGCCGCACTGGTTGAGGAGGAGAACGAGGTCGACGGGGACGTTGAGCTTGATGCCGAGGACATTGGCCTTGATGGCGGTGTAGAGGCACACGGCGACGTCGAGGTCGGCGAGCCCGCCCAGCAGCGGGCAGCAGTCGTCGCTCGCCAGCACGGCTAAGTTGAGCTTTAGCAGGTTCAGTACGTTGGCGCACACCTTCAGCTTCAGCGTGTTGATCGAGCAGGTGCCGCTGCCTCCTCCGGTTGTCGGCGGGGGCAGGGACTGGGATGGCGGGCGGAGACACGGCGATCGGTGATGTTGGCACTGGGACGGCCGGTGTATTGCCGCAGTACGACCCGCAGCCATGCACGGCTGCCAAGAGGACCTGGTTCAGGGCGAGGAAGAGAGCGAGCGTGGAGGGCGCCATTGCTATGTTGATGAAGCAAGTGGCCAACTAGAGTGTACTGGCTAGGCTTGTGGCTGAGCTAGGTGGGCTTGCTAGCTTGTGATGCTTTTCTTTGGTTGCTTGGGGTGGTATTTATAGGCCGGGATGTAGTGTGCATTGTGCAACAAGGGCAAGCACGTCATGATATATCGAGTTTGACTCTTTCCGTAATTTGGGAAAAATATGTACAACCACTAGTGTACCATTATTGGAGCTTAATTTTTTTGCTAACCAACAAAAACCATAAGATATGTTTGATGGGTTTACAAATTTTGCTGTTATCTTGAGAGCACACATAGAATTGGACAAAGGAATATATATGTATCATAGGGCTACGAGCTGGCACATAAACTGATATGCAAGTTCACGGGATGCAAATATACTGGCTCCAGGTGGCCATGCATGCACATGCAAGCTCCTACCACGGAAGGAGATGTCCACTATACGTCTCGTACTTTGGTTTATTATATACTGGCTAGCTGTCTAATTATTTGTTATTCGTCCCCAGTGGCCAGTGGTGGTGCTGGAAAGTAATTTCGATATTGAAAAGCGAATTACACTGTTGTAGTAGCTAGCTTAAAATATCGTCCCCAGTGGGCAGTGGTGGCGCTGGAAAATAATCTCGATATTGACAAGGGCATTACACTGTTATAGTAGCTAGCTTAAAATACCCCCTAAAAAACTAGCTACAATATTCATGTGATGGAGCTAGGCCGCCATGTGAACAAGGGCAGGTGAAGAAATTACCTCCTCTTTCCCAAATATAAAGTGCCGGTTGACTTTTTTGTCTTTGTTAAACAACTTTGACTATGATTTTCACG